TTCATTCCCAGTTTGTTCCCACAGTTACTCCACCGCTGGGAATGGGTGTGACAGGTATCTGGCCAGGATCAAGGACACTTGGAGCCAGTGGGGAGGGCTGTGTGTTCCCCAGATGCCCCCTAACCCTTACACCTATGGCTACTGCAGTATCTGGGTGAGTCTTTGAGTTGCCCTTCGGGTGAATTTGTTTAGGGGAGACAGTAAGGACCTCCAGCGGGGGGCAGGGATAGCTGCACTGAGTGGATCCGGCCACTCAGAGCCATGCACGCTTCTCCCCTTCCCTCTTGGCAACCAGACCCCACGTCTGCTCCCGAATCCATGCCTCCCCCAGTAGTCCATGCTTCCTGTGAGAGAGCATTCATTCTGCTGAGGGAGGCATCAGAGGGGCTGCCCTCTCTCTTCTTCTTCTGGGCCGCACGGGGAGCACCAAGCCCCGGAAGCCCTTGGGTGGCCTCACACCCCCATGGTGGCAGCAGCTAGAATGTCAGACACCAGTGTTGGAACCCTAAGCCAGTCCCCAAAGCCACCAGGAGAAAGGCTCTCTGGCTCCTTTCTTCTAGGCTGAGATTGCCGGGTCCATCCTCCACAGGGGATATCATCTGGATGCAGCCCCTCCTGGTGTCCACGTGCTGACCATTGTCACCTCTGTGGAGGACAGTGATGTTTAGGGCTTGCTGCTCAGTAGACGCCTTTTGATCCTTTAGCCCAGATTACGCAGCCGCCTCCCAGCCCCCGCTAGCCTCCCCCAGGAGCTCCCAGCCCAGAGCCACCCCAGCACGCGGCTCTGCATCCTGCGTGGCTCTTGTGCACCTGCAGCTTCATCTCATACAAACAGAGATGCCTGAGCGGGTGAGGCCCTGACGTCTGTGCTGGGGGGCGGGGGGCGCAGTACAGGAAGGAGTGGAATAAAGGGGAGAAAAAAATGGAAACAGTGTAATAGCACGATCCATAAAATATATATATTTAAAACATAAGGCTGATCTAATGCAGACATGTCAAGCTCCACCTCTGAAGACTAATTATAGGGTGGGGCAAGAGTGGGTTTACAGTTGTTTGTGATTACTAAATAACACAGTAATTAACAAATAATAGTACAAGAACAAACTGTGTGTAACCAGCCGGGTACAATCCCAGTGCCCGAGCCGAGCTATGGAAATCCGAGGCCGAGAAGGAAAGCTTCTCCGACGGCCGGAGAGCAGCAGGGACCAGAGGCGGTGGAGGCTCTGCTCTCTGCAGACTCCCAAGGGGGCGCATTACACACCCCACACAGCGAGGTGTCCGCCCCACAACATGGACAGAGGGTCCTAGAAATCAGTGGCCGGCCCTCACAATTATGAGAGAAATTTCTAAAACTTGTGCACATATTTTTTTTAAAAAGCAGAAAAAAAAAAAGAAACCAAACAAAACCCCAAAACCCACAGGATGAGCCTGTTCAGAGGTTAAGCACAAAGCCCAGGAGAATAAATGGGAAGTGACTCCACTGGATAGCACTCAAGAAAAGGAGAACTAAAACAAGACATTGTTTCTCTTTTTTTTTTTTTACATTTTATTTACTTTTAGAGAGAGGGATAGGACAAGAGGGAGAGATTGACTGATCGTGTCCTGCACGACCCCAACCAGGGACCTGGCCCACAACCCCAGCATGTGCCCTGACCAGGAATGGAACCCATGACCCTTCTGTTCACTGGCCGGCGCTCAGTCCACTGAGCCACACCAGCTATGGCCAGACACCATTTTTCATCTCTGTGGTCTGGGGAGGGATCATGGAGTGTTCTCTACAATAGCGAGTGGATCCTGGGACAGACCAGAGTCAGCTGAGTCCCAAATACTTAGGGTCAGGGCAGCGGCAGGGAGTCAAGGGCAGAACATCGAAACCCTTCAGGGAAATGCCAGCTTGACCAGCAGGATGGGTCCTGCCTCCCTGGGGGCCTTGAAGCCAGGATGCGTGCAGGCAGCCAAGTAACCTGCTCTGGGGTTTAGGGGTGAATCAAGGGTCCTTAGAGAGAACAGCAGAATTCTACTTTCCATGAAAACCAGCATTCCTCTTCTACTTTCAAAGAGGACTCGAGCCTTTCTGAGTGAGGAATTCTGTTCCACGCACATTCTTGGGTGAGTGTCAATTACTTCTGTCAGTTGCTGGTCCTTGGTGCTAATTCAATGCCAACAGTACAGCGAAGAAGTAAACTGTATTCAGTGCAAAACAGCTCAGTTGGGAAAACCACACAGCTGTGAGGGGTCCCTGGGCCAGGCTCTCTCCAGCGAGGCAGCTCTGCCCTGCCCTGTACTGGTCTGCTCCATGGGGCTCCCGTGAGACATCTTCAGTGTTTCAGCCTCAGCCCAGGATAGGCAACCTTCAGTCTTTGGTGTGAAGGAAAATGTGCCCCTAGAGCCATCGCAAAGCTGACTTACATATATAAGACAGTTCCCACCCCTGGCTCTTGGCTGGCCCATCCTAATGCAAATGAGGACTCCAGATCTTTGCAGTTCGATTGGTGCAAAAGGCACCAATGGTCCTGACTGAGCTGTGAAGGGGCTGATGATATATAGCTTCACAGCTGCCATGGGATGGGGCAGGACCAGCCCTGTGGCTGGAGCAGGACTGCAGGAACTGCTCTGGAAAAGCTGGCTGGGGAGTGGGGGCGGGTGAACAGAGCACAGGCAGGCGGTTCGGCTCAGGCTTCTCCCAGAAATGCAGTTTGCGTGAGTGAGAGACCTGTGCGCAGACATGGTTGCTGGCTCTGTTTTTGTTTTGTTTTGTTTTTTTTTTAATTTTGAGCCCAGTTGACCACCAGGAGCCCTCCTTAGGTATCTTTTTGCTCAGGGTCCACACCTGATAATTAATTTGGACTCTAGAATCAGCCTTCAGGGAAGGAGGTCTTTTCATTAAATAATTAAGTCTCTCATGAGTCAGTTAGATAAGACGCCCAGTGCCTGCACCAAGCAGGGGGTTCTTTTTCTCCCCGGAGAGGAAATGCTCAGCATCAGGTTTTTGGGGCTGGTGGAGTGGCACGGGCTGGCAGCTCCGTCTGCCTTTCTGCTAGGCCATCCTTAGCATGGGGTGTTCGTCCCCAAGTTCACTGCTTGGTCAGAGGTGGCCACTGCATCACCATGCATCAGGTGGACAGCCTAGGAAAGAGGAAGGCTGGGCAGAAGGGTGATTTGGCTGAGCTATCCCCTTCAAGGATATTCCGGAACTGCCACTGATGCCTCCCACTAACTTCTCCCTAACCACTGAGAGCTGGAGAAAGCTACCCCAGATGAAATCTGTGTTTTGGTAGCAGGGTGGAGGTAATAATTACATATGAGGAAGATAAATGGTGGCTCCCCTGTTGGGAACATACGAGACTTGTATTTTCTTTTTCTTTCTTTATTTTTATTTTTAATAAACTAGATTAGTTAACCATACAATAAAACTAGAATTAAGTCATAAGAAGTGCTCAGAAATTTTTAGATAGAAAACTGCAAAATTTTACTGAGGGACTGAAAACAATTTGCACATATGGAAAGTCTAAGTTACTCCTTGGAAAAAATTATCACAACAATAATTGTAGTGACACTAACAGCTAACAGTGAGTCCTCTGTCTGGGGCAGAAATCAAACTTCACCTAATAGGTTTCTGCATGTCTCCTTCTCAGTCCAGAGGTAAACAGGATCGTGGTCCCCGATTTCAGATGACAGTGGAATGTCCCTACCCCAGCTTTACTGACATATGATTGATGTATGAAATTGTGCAGATGAAGCTGTTTTCCTTTAGAAGTTTGGGAATAAGTTCGGGAAGTTACTCAACTGGGTGCAACAGGTTCCAGCAGATGCTGGATGAAAGTTGTCTGTGGTTATTTCAGAGCTGGGAGGAAAAAGAGAAGTCAAGGCCATGCCAGGGTTCAGTGTAGATTCTAGCAAAGCAAGACAGCAGGGCCTGCCTGGACCAACAGATGTGAGGCCCAGAAGAAGTGGCTCCAACGTACAACAAAGAAAGGAAGACAAAGGGCAAATGGCCATACCGGAGGGGAGGGGACGTGGCCAAGGAAGGAGGTGGAGACTCCATGGCTTTGGAGGGTTAGAAGGAACAAGGCCCTGGCTGGCATGGCTTGGTTGGTTGGAGGGTTGGAGGGATGTTTCTCTCCTTCTCTCTCTCCCTCCCTTCCCCTCTCTAAAATCAATAAGCATGTTATTGGATGAAGATAAAAAAATTAAAAAGTATCTCTTAAAAAAAATGAGCCCTGGCCGGTGTAGCTCAGTGGATTGAGCTCAGGCTGTGAACCAAAGCGCCGGCCAGTTCAATTCCCAGTCAGGGCACATGCCTGGGTTGGGGGCCAGGTCCCCAGTGTTGGGCTGTGTGTGAGGCAGCCACTCTTGATGTTTCCCTGTCTTTCTCCCTATTCTTCCCCTCTCGAAAAGTAAATGATTTTTTTAAGTTGAAAATTATTGATCCTTGACCAAGGAAGAATGGTCATTTTTTTTATTGCTATGGATTTTTGGTGTATTTTACTTTTAAATTAGTTCACATCTTATTTGATGTGTTCTTAAAAGAAAAACAAAATTGATACTACCTCTAAATTATTTCAATTAACCCATACAATTATTTGTTTTTAGCAAGGCCTTTTCTTTTCTTGGTGGAAAACTCCGTTCCTACATGGTGACTGGTTTCCCCTTTGAAAATCTGATCCCTTCCAGGGTACACGTCGCCTGTGTCCGCTGGAGTTAACACCTTGGCGAGCTGGCTTGTTGAAGGGAACGTGTGTTGCCGCGTGTTGCCGCGCTGTGCAGGGATGCCCAGACGCCAAACCAATTCAAGTGTCGACGTAAGAATTAGACTGCACCCTAAACACATTCAATTTGCATTCCAGATTTAAATTTCTACAAGCAGATTTAAGGGAGAGGCTCCTTATCAAAACCCTGAATCAGATAGCTCAGGGCTGCGGGGGTCGGGGGTAGTATGGAGGGGGAATAACCTAAGCCTGGGTTTAAAATTTAGCTCCAACCCCCAACTTAGGGGTTTCAAACACAGCCAAGGAAGAACCAGCCGTCGCCCCTCAGGCGATGCGCCCGTGAGTGGCTGGTTCCTAGAAAACAGGAGACGCGGAGGCTGTGCGCCCGAGATGGAGAGCGGGAGCGAAAGTGGAACCAGGCTGCGTCCCCAGTGTGGGAACTTCCTTACGAAAGGACTCAGAACCGAGCTTCGGGGCGGTGCTTCCCCCGGTCTCCACCCGCCGCCCGGAAGCGGAAGCGACAGCGGAAGCCGAGGTGAGCGCTCAGAGCTGTGGAGTTTCAGCGCCGCTTTCTGGGAGAGAGTCGGGAGTCCGGGTACCCGCTGGATTTTGTGTCCAAGGTGAGGAATACTGAAATCTCCCCACTTTCATGCCAGCACATATAAAACGCTTTTATCGGACTTTCTATTACTGTCATGCCGTCCCACCGTTCTCGGTGGTGGTTTGGCTGAGCCGCGGGAGAATGTGGAGGGAAGGCGAGGCCCAGAGCCAGCGGCCCGACCACGGTGCGCACGGCCCAGCCCTCCGGCGCTCACTGGGCAGTGCGGACTCCTGGGCCCCGCCCCCGGCATGTGGGCACCAGGCCTGAGCGCCAGGGCCAACCTCCACCCGCCCCCTGGACGTCTGCGGCCGACTTTTCCGAGGCTGGGAAGGCGCACTCAGATTTCTCAGACTTGGGCTCCTCAGCTGCACGACATGTTTGTCGACTCTTGAACACGGGTTGGGGGATGCCGGCCCGTCCCCCCAGTCAAACATCGCATATACTGTGTTTTTTGGACTATAAGATGCACCCCCCCCAAATTTGGGAGGAAATGGGGGGTGCGTCTCATAGTCCGAATGTAGCGTTCCTGGCTTGCTGTGTGCCGGCGGGGTCGCCACTGCAGGAAGCCGGCGGCGATGGCAGGACTGGGATGATGCTGCGGGCCCTGGGCTGGGAGGTGGGGGTGTCCGGGCCGTGCGTGAAGCAAGGGAGGCAGGTGCGGAGTCCCCGCTGTGGCATACTAGAGTGCTAGGGAGGAGAGTACAGGCCGTGCGGGCACGTTAGGAGAAGAAAGCCCGCAGCGCTTGTACGTGCCTCCATCACGTGACTGGCGGGTCCTCCATTAACATCAACACCGGCAAATTCCACCGCAGGGTCCCCTGTCAACGTGGCCCTGCAGCTGTTGCTAAACCACAACTCCCAGCATGCTGGGACAGGTTGGGATGATGGGAGCTGTGACGGGATGATCTGGCAACAGCTGCAGAGCCACACAGGTTGTGCAACACCGCTGTCCCCACACAGGAGTGTTGCGCAACCTGTGGCCCTCCAGCAGCAGATCCCCCATCACAGTGCGCCATCCGCTGATGGTCTCAGCTGCAGTGCCCCAGGAACTATGAAGGACACAGGGCTGACAGTTCTGCCATTACTGTATTTTGTTTTAGAAAGATAACATAGCGTTCCCGTAGTCTCCTGTTGAATCTACCGTAATTGTGGAAAGATGTCAAAGCAGAAAAGGATTTCCTATAAAATCCCTTTTAAACTGGAGGTAGTGAAGTACGCCAAAGAACATGGGAACAGAGCAGCAGAGAGGCACTTTGGGCCACCTCCAACCGAAAAAATGATTCGGGAATGGAGGAAACAGGAGGATCAACTGCAAAAAACAGACAAAACGAAACAGTGTTTTCGTGGGCATGCTGCGAAATGGCCACAGTTGGAAGCGGATGTGAAAGAGTGGATCACACGTCACAGGAACAATGGCTTTTCAGTATCTACGAAAATGATCATATGTGAAGCCAAACGTCTTGCTGCAGAGAAAGGCATTGAGGACTTCACTGGGTCACCATCATGGTGCCACAGGTTTATGAAGAGATGTGGCCTCCCTGTGCACACCAAAACTAGGATTGCACAGACGATGCCTATGGAATATGAATCCAAGATTGTGTCTTTTCACAAATTTGTACTGGATGCAAGAAAGAAAAATGGATTTTAAATAAGCCAGATTGGGAACGTGGATGAAGCCCCATTAACCTCTGATGTTCTATCAAACAAGACTGTTGATGGGAAAGGTGCCAAAACCATAACTGTGAAAACCTCAGGGCATGATAAAACCCATTACACAGTTGTGTTGTCCTGCCGTGTAGATGGCACCAAACTGCCACTGATGCTGGTTTCCAAGAGAAAAAACCTGCCAAAAGAGGCCATCCCAAGAGGAGTTATTCTTCATGTTGACAACGAAGGATGGATGGACAAAAATGGCATGAAGATATGGATAGAAAAGGTGTGGTCCAAACGTCCTGGAGGGCTTCTGAAAATACCTGCTCTCTCAGTGCTTGACCAGTTTAGAGCACATATCACTGAAGTCACAAAAGAGATTTAAACAAGAGAAAACCCATCTGGCCGTAATTCCTGGGGGGCTTACCAGCCAGTCTGTACCTTTGGGCATTTCCATCAACAAGCCATTTAAAGTTTTCATGGGAGAAGAGTGGAATGAATGGATGGCTGGTGGAGACCGTGACCTGACACCAACTGGACGAATGAAGAGGCCCACGATTACCCGAGTTTGTGAGTGGGTGAAAACCTCATGCAGTCAGTTAAGGATGAAACTGGTGTGAGGTCCTTCAAAAATGTGGCATCAGCAATGCCTTACATGGCTCTGAAGGTGGCATCCTCTATGAACAGAGTGAAGACAGTGAGACTAGTGATTCTGAGGAACTGAGCTTCATAAATGTAGACAGTGGTGACGAGGGTTTCTCGGGGTTCCCTGATGATTAGAGGAGCTTCGGTACTTAAAGCTTAAAGTCAGTGTAATGGTTGTTAATGCTGCTATTGAGTTCTGTTTACATTTACATTGGTGAAATAATATGTTGTTAAATATTTTACCACATTTTTTGCTTCAAATTTTTCCCCCCATTTTCCTCCTCTAAAACTTAGGTGTGTCTTAGGTCTGAAAAAACACGGTAACTTTTAAGCCCCCAAACTTAACTCTGTCAGTATCTGCTGGGGATTTGTTTGAGGCCCCCCTGTGGATACCAAAATCTGTGGATGCCCAAGTCCCCTGTATAAAATGGTGTAAAACAATGCATACATTTGGCCCACCACATCCACGGAACTCCCATCTGTGAATGGAAATAGTACCGGTATTTCCCGAGGAGGGAAAAACTGAAAAGAAGTGGCCAAGCGTGGGCTGTTCAAGTAAGTGAACTAGGCCAGCCACCACGTGTCTGACCTTGTGAGCCTTGTGCGTGCAGGAAGTGCCCTTCCGCTGTAAAGAGTGGGAGGAGGCGAGTGGGTGCACGTTCCCAAGGGTAGTTAATGGGGGGAGGGTGCCCCTAGTCCTAATGTCCCCAATGGGGACTGCATAGTCAACAAGATGCTGGTGACAGGCTCCCATCTGAAGTGGGAAATGCCCATTTCCCACCAATGAGCTGCAAGCCCACCTTTCTATGCTGCTGTTAGGAAATTGCTCCCCAGGCTCCTTGCCCTCCAGCCTCAGCCAGGTCTGGCCGATGGAGGGGACGAGGGGGAGACTGGAAGGGGAAGGCAGAAGATACTGACTTGGGAAAAGTCCAAGGCCAGCAGCAGCGGCACTGGCTGAGGCACAGGCCCTGTGCTGTGTCCGCATAAGCACCAGCTGTGCCTGGCTCCTTCCCCATTGGGCTGCGCCTCCCTTGGAAGTCCGAGTTCCCTCCAGGTTGTACCTTTTCTGAGATCTGAGCACCCACCACAGGGCACTCAGAGCTCTCGGGTTCTGGTAATATCACCTGCTCCTATCATTCCCCCTGGGAAGCCTCTGCTTCCCACACTGAACTTCAGGGACACCTTGGGGGCCCCTTCTTGCTCACTCGGCCCCCCCCAAACTCTCCAACCCCCACCCAGCCGCTGTCCATCGCAATCAATGCCCTATGTTCTGCTTGGAATACTTGGTGGGCTGTGGTTCCCAGACTGGATGCTGCATCACACAGTCCGTCTTCTCAGCCATGAAGGCAGGACTGTGCTGTACCTCTGCAGGCCTTGCCCCCTACCTAGTTCATACTAGTTCATTGCTAAAGATTTGCTCAATTAATTAACTAGCCTCGAGTCCATGACAGAGTTAAAATTGAAGATTTAATGAATCTTCGATGGAAAAGATTATTTCAGTACACAAACGCACTGTCAGTATTGTTGCTAGAAATCAAGAAATGCCAATTATTGATCATGAGATTCTTTCAAGAAAGCTGCTGTTTTGAAATGCATATGAACATATACTGAAATATACATGGGAAATGCATAAAGCTTGGGTGACTGGCGCCATGAATTTCCACCCATTTCCTTCAGCTCTGTCCCACTCTTCTTACCCCTTTAACCCTAATATCCTCAGCTACTGTCACGGGGATGCAACTGTGTCCCCAGAAAAAGGCTTTGTTGAAGTCCTAGCCCTCAGCCCCTCAGGATATGACTGTTTGGAAACAGATATGTGTGTCTGTAACCAAGATACAGCGAGGCAGTGGGGGTGGCTAGTCCAGTCAGACTGGTGCTGTTACCGAGGGGAGACCTGGAGACAGACGGAAGGCCCGGTAAACACAGCTGTGCGATGATGGAGCCGGAGATTGGAGTGGTGTGTCTACAAGCCAAGAATGGCAAGCACTTAGGAAGAGGGGAGGAAGGACTCCAGAGTGGTCGGAGGGAGAGTGGCCCTCCCACTGTGCTTCAGACTGCAGTTCACAGCCGGGGACAATCCGTCTGTTTAGAGCCGCCCAGTCCGTGGGCGTTTGCCATGGCAGCCCCACGAAATGTATACAAGCGCTGCAGGGCATGCATTTTACTTACTTGTCCGACCTGATCCCCCAGCCTTCTGTCCCTTTGGTCTGTACTGTCCTAGTGGCCCGAACCGAGTGGATGTGCACTGCTCTGCAGTGCAGAGCAGACACGCCCATGTTAGCGAGCCTGGGGCCAGGCGCAGAGCTGGCTGGTGTTGGCCACCAACAGAAAACATGACTCACAGCAGCTGTGAACAAATGCAGATTTACTTTTTCACATGGAAGCCCTGCGGTTGGCAGTTCAGGCTGGAGCAGCACCCCAGCCCTGTGAGAAGGGCTGTACCCAGCTGGCCTCTGAGGTCCCAGGGGGCCTCCCCAGTTTCAGAGACACCACCCTCCCACAGAGGAGGGGGCGGTGGCTAAGCATCTGCCACCGCCTGATGTGGTTACCGAAAACCTCCGCAGCTGATGCCGCAGGCATCTCCTCCCCCACCCAGAAGGAGCGGGGAGGTTCAGCTGAGTTTTCAGCCTTAAAGCCAAGGCCATGGAAGAGGAGGAAGGCGAGGGAGCAGTGTCAAGACGGGCCACCACTGGCCAAGCTCTGCCTTAGTGGCGCTGTGGCTCACGCAGAGAAAAAATGCGTCACTGAAGGTGCTGCTGGCACAATGGGCTGGACATCAGCATGGAGGGGACAACCAGACCTCGACATCACTCCCCACACGGAAATGAACTCCCAATACGCTAAATGCTGAATCTGAAAAGCAAAATGTAAGCACTTGGGGGGGCGAAATCTTTGGAAAAGATGAGTGAGTGGCACTAAAACGTACCGCACATTGTTAGAACAGCAGAGACAAGCACGCTGGGAGACGTCTGCAAAGCACCTGACACAGGAACGAGGGGCAGAACCAGCGTCCCTCACAGGAAAGACAAATGCCATCTTTGGGGATACCCGGGTCCTCAACCTGACTAGTAGAGAAATGCAAATTAAAACTTAGGCCCTGGCTGGTGTAGCTCAGTGGACTGAGTGCAGGCCTGCGAACCAAAGGGTTGCGGGTTCAATTCCCAGTCAAGGTGCCTGCCTGTGTTGCATGCCAGGTCCTCAGTAGGGGACGTGTGAGGCAACCACGTATTGATGTTTCTCTCTCTCTTTCTCCCTCTGCCTCTCTAAATTAAAAAAAAAAAAAAAACACACAACTTTGGCACTCATCAGACTGTCAAAAACAAGCACTCTGACAGTATGTGCTAAGCAGTGGGCGGAGCGGGTCTCAGTAGCCAAGGCGCAGGCAGACTGGGTAACACCCACCTTGAGAACCTTCAGACACCCAATTAAGCCAAAGGCACATGGCTGCAACAGCGCCATCCCTGCACTCTGCGCGCGAGGATGGGCCCTGGTGTGCAGAGCAGCGCTGGGTCTGAGGACAGAGCCTGGAAACCATCTGGATGTCAGCCGTGCAGACTGGCCACGGGAGTCTGCTCACATTACAACTTGAGCATGTCACACAGGCCTCAGTGCTGTTTTAAAAGCTGAGGAATACTCTGTGTACATACCGTTATTTGTAATTTTTTAGGATGCAACAAAATTCCATGTACTAAGGGACACACACCTCCATGCTAACATTTTAAAATAAGATTTATTTATCTTTAGAGGGGAAGGGAAGGAGAGAGGGAGAGAAACATCAATGTATGGTTGCCTTTTGTTTGTCCCCTGCTGGGAACTGGCCTGCAGGGAACTGGCCTGCAACCCAGGCATGTGCCCTGACTGGGAATCGAACCGTGATTGTCTGGTTCGCAGGCCCGCGCTCAATCCACTGAGCCACAACAGCCAGGGCCATGCTAACATTTTTAAGAAACATACCACATGCCCACCAGTAGACGAGTGGATCAAAAAACTGGGGTGCATTTACACAATGGAATACTGCGCAGCAGAAAGAACTCCTACCTTTGGTGACAGCATCGCAATCCCTGTGAGGACAGGCAGGCGGGCCGGAACACTGGTCCTCGAGCCACGCGCCATGAGAGAGACCCTGGCAGCCGAGCACCCGTGGGCACTGACCCCCTGCCTGGCCGCAGGTCTGACAGCTTCCAGCTCTCGAGCTGGTACCCTGGTCAGCACCACCTGGGGGTCCTTTCAAAGCCACTGTGCCCAGGTCCCACCGGCTTCTCACACCAGAACAGAAGCAGGCAGCTCGCCTTGGTTCTCCAGATGACTCCACTGCATGGTGAAGGTGAGAGCTGCAAAGATGCCCAACTGCCTCATGATTTGGGGATTTGGGACAGCCAAATCAGAGACAAAAATGAAAGCTGAAGCACAGCCAGCGTGGTGCTGACGATGACGCGCCGTGGCAGCTGTGCGGAGCTGCTGCGAGTCGGTTTGGACACGGCACCCCCAATAGGAGGTAGAGGGTGGGGCGGCCTGCCCTAGTGGGTCTCCGGCGCCTGTGTGGCCGAGTAGTGCCGTGGAGCGAAATGAGCTACCACGTGTCAGCCGCTCAGAGCCACGGCCAGTGCACGAAAGCACTCAGGGTTCGCTGCTTTTCAGGTAAAGAAACTTTTCGGGGACAGGGCCCCAAGTGTCTCAGTCACAAGGACCCTGTTCACTCTCACGGCTCCGTGAGCAGGCTCCCAGGCCCGTGACCAAGATGCCAGTCCGGCTTCCCAGTCACCGTGAGCCTGTGGGCAATCTGCAACATGGGACCCGTGACACACAGTGGATGGCATGGTTCCCAGCAGGCCAGCAAAGGGCTCCAGAGCGAGGCTGAGGCAGAGTGAGGCTGACGCCCACCCTCTCCTCCTCCACTGCCCACTGTCGACGACGGGAGCCCGACTGGCAGCACACACCACAGAAGGCCTGGCTGCGGCGACAGGAAGACAGGGTTGCTTTTGCTTTTAACTTGGAGACTCAGATGTTCTGGAGCTGCGGGTGTGAAGACACCGAAGGCGGCTCTGGACCAGGCGGCATTCCAAGGTGGGCCTGCTGGTCAGGACGGGAGGACTGGCGGCAGGGGCAGGCTGTGGTCTGGGTGCCGAGAGTCACGAAGATGCCACATGGTGGCACTTCCTGTCAGCTGCTGGCTTTCTTCCACCTCTTGTGATACCTCCAACCCTTCAACGCACCCCAAAGGGAATACCACTACTGACCCTAGCCTGCCCCCTACCCCTAATCCCTCCCCCCACCAGACCCTTTCACCTAGAGACCCAGAGCACATGGTGTGGTGGCGGGCATGGGAACAGAGCACCTATCCCCATGACCCCGTGCTACAAGACACTGGGCAAGCTTTGCTGACAGGAGAGCTGTGTCCCCCCAGGAACTGGGGGCATGGCACCTGCCCCAGGGCATGAGGCTGGACGTGGGAAGCCCAGCTCTGGGGCAGGTGTGTGAAGAAACAACCTCCCCTGGGCCTCAGCAAACTGCTCCCCCAGCCTCACTCCAGGGTCTGCCTTGGGGAGATCAGAGGCAGACTCGGCCCCGGCCCCCCACTTGACCTCTTCTGCCACACTCAGCACAAAACGGAAGCACCGCGTGTGTCCTTAGCACCCACCCATGCGGCTGGGGAGCCTCTGGTGTTCAGCTGCAACCCCCCCCACCAGGGCCTCAGCCCAGCTCCAGGGCAGACCCAGGCAGCTCCCAAGGCGCTAGGCACAGCAGGGGCCTCTGTCTCCAGAGGGGGGCGCCAAACCCTGCTCCCCGGCCCTGCAGCCTGTCCCTGCTGGGCAAGAAGCAAAATGTACGAAAATACTTTAATTATTTCTTTGAAACCGTTAAGAAATAAGATCATCTTGTTTTTCTTTTACAATCTCAGTAAAAAAAAAAAAAAAAGTTCACATTAGTGCTGGAGGCCAAAGCCGGGCCCCGAGCCAGGCACCGGCCACTCAGTAGAAACGCTTGTTGCGCTCCTGCCGCCTCTGGAACACCACGGCCCCCACCACGGCGCACACGACGATGCCCAGGAGCGCACACAGCAGCAGCAGGAACACCCGCCACCCCGTTAGGGGCCCGCTGCGGAAGTTCCCCGTCGGGTCGTCCACGTTGTCTGTGGGAGAAGATGGGGGGGGGGGGGCCCTGAGGCGGTGGTCCTGGCAAAGCCCCACCCCCTATGGGAGCTGTGGCTGCCCACACTGCACCAGCGAGGGGTGGGCAGGGGGTGACCCCAGCGATCCCAGAGATTGAGGCCTGGGTGCCTCGCTGCGGCAGGGAGCCAGTGGACACTGGATTCCTGGGCTCCATGAGAGCACACTCTGCCTGAGAAGCCCAGGACCTGCTTTCACAGGCCCGCCCTACACCGGTGCAGAGGGCTGAGCGCTGCATCTGCAGAAAGGCAGCCCCAGCGAACACTGCCCTGACTCACACCTGGAAGCACCTGGCGGCTCCAACAGGTCCCAGGTCCCTACCCTGTCCTACTCTGGCCTCACCACGCAGCTGCCTGCTAGCCCTGTCAGTGGCCCTGACGAATGCCAGGCCTAGAACGCCAGCCACGAGCCCACCAACACCCTCCCTCCCCGCAGGCCTGCGGTGCCACCCTGTACAGTGACGGTTGTGGCCGCTGACAGAGCCAGAGGCGCCCAGGGTTCCCAAGGCCCCTGCGTCCCCTTCCCCACTTCAGTCACTACAGTGAGCCCTGGGGCAGCGCCCAGCACACAGCTAACACCGAACGGGGACTCTGGCCCTCACTGCTGGAGGGGCGAATGGGGCAGTCGGTCTGAAAATGGGTCAGTCCCTGCTTGGCCGAGCAGGTGGGGTTGCTGGGTTGGTCTGAGCGACAAGGGCTCTGAGCCCTCAGCAGCTAGAAACCCCTAGTCCAAAGTGGTAAGCTCGTGGCCTAAGGCAAATGTTTGACTCACGAAACATTTAAAAGTAACTGGAACCTTAAAGTGAGCTGTCACAGAAAACACGGGGTCTGTTTCAGGTCACACCATTCGGCTCACAGCTGACCACAGGCTGGGCCGAGGGCTGCTCCAAGCACAGGGGCCGCCCTCTGTGAGGGCAAAGCCGTGGCTACTGAGTGCTCTGAGAAGAGCCCAGACGTTGGAGTTTTGCAAAAAACTCAACTGCAAATCCTGCTCTATCCCCTTGTAGCTGAGAAAACTAGAGGATCGGTTCCTTTGGTCAGTGGTAGGACCTACCTCCCAGCCATTCGCTGAGGTCACACACGTGCACTGCCAGTGCCCTGCACAACACCCCCACCGACAAACCAGCCCCTGCCCTCGGCCCGGCACCGACCGTGGGAGGGAGCAGGATGCGGTGCTGCCACACTGCTCGTCGGCATGGCCTGCTGGTCCCAGAGCCCAGGCCGCAAGCACAGCCGGACCCGCAATGGCAGGGGCGCCGCAGGCACACACCACACCAGCCTTGGCCCGGCCCCAGCCCCATGTAGGCCAAGTGGGGGACCCCCAAACACAAACCTTTGGGTGACTTGAGGAAATTGACACTGGGCTCGATCTTGGTCCAGTCGATGTTGTCCTCGTCAGGGGTGTGCTCTACCATCAGCTGGAACAGCTTCATGGAGATGATGTCGTGATTGTCTGCAGGACCGAGCGCCAGCAGGTGAGGGCCCTGAGCCTGCCTCGGGCACATGGCCCATGCCTCGCTCTGCCATGTACAGTGGCCAGGTCCCCAGGGACAGCCCACTCCCACCCAGCTGCGGGCTCAGCCCTGATGCACAGTCAGCAACTGCCCCTGAGGCGCGGGGAAGGCCCAGTGTGAACAGATCAAACAGGAAAGACCCTCTGCTCAACAGCCACCAACCACGCATTTCTGAGACCGGGAGGCCAAGGCTCCCAACCGATAAGCCGAGGCTCCCGGCCAAGAGGCAGGTCCCGACCATCAGCCCTGCTGACTGACCGGACTCTGGGAATGGCCTGGAAAGGGGGAGCCAAAGAGCAAGAGCCCAGCGGCACCTGACAGCCGGTGCGCACAGCCCCCAGAGGCCCAGGACGCACCCAGCCCGCAGTCAAACTGCGGCGCCCATCTGCGCTCTGCCGCTGCTGGGCATGAACATGGAGAAACCCCTTCACCGCTCACACTCCCAATGGTCCCCATTAGGTGGGAAGGGAGACAGGCCACTAGCCACCCAAGCACACATCACGTGACTTCCCAGACAGCATGCAGGCACCTGGGGTGGTGTGTACAATTTTAAACAAGGGAATCGGGGAAGACCCCACTGAGGAACTGACATCTGGGCAAGACATGAGGATGAGAGTGAGACATGGGCACAGAGGCCCAAGCAAGAGGCCTCGGTGCCCGAGCAGCTTGAGCCAGCACAACCAAGGGGCAGGGAGCAGAGCTCCAGAGGCAGCGGGGTGGCAAGGGGCCAGCACAAGGGCCCCACAGGCCATGGCTAGGTTGGTGGTGGCCTTGACTCTGAACAAGCAGGGAGCCACTGCAGTGCTCTGAGCAGAGAGAGACTGCCAGGGGCTGGAGAGCCCCAGAGAGGGGGTCACGTGGGGGCTCCTGCAGCTGTCCAAGTGAGGGAAGGTGGTGGCCGGACCCCCCAGGGATTGAGGGAGGGGCGAGAGTGAGAGAGGGGTCTGCTCCACTGTGGAGATGAAGCTGGAGGGGCATGTGAGACAGAAGGGAAGTCCAGAATGATAGTAAGGTTTTTAGAATGAGCAACTTGAAAAACAGAGGTTTCATTTATGTCTTAGCAAGATGTGGTCGTCAGCTGTGGGCATGCAAAGGCTGAGACACCTGCAGGGCGGCCAAGTGGAGATGCTGAGTGGGTCGGTGATGACATGGGACTGCAGGCAGAGATCTGGGGTCTGAGGGTCCAGTTCAAAGCCGCCTACAGTGAGGGCCAGACGGCCGAGCTGCTCATGGGCTGAGCCCTGGGCGAGCCACAGCAGAGCTGACATGAAGAGAAAGCGAGCAGGCGAGCGTGGAGCCGATGTAGGAAGTCTGAGAAGGAAAGTGACCAGCTGTGCCACAAGCCTGGCAGACCAGGGAAGGTCATGGCTAAGACTCAATACCCTGTGCAGGCCACTCACCAGACAGGTCACCGGTGCCAGCTGAGGCCCCAAAGTAGTAGCCGGTAGGAAGGCGCACTCCCGTGATGTCGATGCAGTTCTTCCACTCGTTCTTGTCCTCCAGGTCAGTCATCACCTGCAGCCGACCAGCAGGTGATGCGCCACAGGCCCAGCCTGCCCATCTTCCCACAGAGCCTGTCCGGCCAGGGACACCCCGCCCCACCCTCCCCACTGCCGCCCACTCACCGTCAGGCGGCCCCGGGAGTAGCGCACGGCTAGAAAGGTGTCATGGTCACGGTTGCGGAAGTCGGCTGTGCAGCCTGCCAGCTCAGTCCATCGGCCATCCTTGCTGTGGTCGTAGGACAGGGAGCCATTGTTCACCATCACCGAGATGTACGGGAACACGCGCTGAGACCGAGACACCAGTTACTCCGAAGCCGTCCCAGCCTGCGGAGTGGCAGGCCCCACCCCAACCAGCCTCCCAGGCCCTCCTGCCCTGAGGCACAGGAGGGAGCAGGGCCCTACCTCCGTGGTCTCATCATTGGGGTATGTGTCCAGGAAAATGGCTAAGCCGTGGAAGTTGTCTTTGCTTCCAAAAACAGGCCCTGGGTTGAGAAAGAGCCACTGCAGTCATGGGGAATTGGGGGCGTGCCCTGGCTAACCCGAAGGCCAAAGTAGTGCCAGTGGGGGTGGGAGTGGGGGACGAGATACGGCAGCCTGCTGTTGAGCACCCGGTCTCTAAAGGAAAAGCCTACAGGTGGGCTCGGGTGAGGACAGAGCCTGAAGCTCTGGGACGCCAGGGACAGAGCCGGCCCTGTGCTCTGAGTGTGCAGATGAGAGGGAGCCCAGCCTGTAAAGACTGGGAAGCCCTGTCCTCCTACCTGAGGGAGGTCCAGAGAGGAGGCACTTTCAACTGTAAGGGCCACGTACAATCCTCCTTGCTTCTACTTTTTAAAAATAACACTCTGAAGTGGGGAAGGCCATTCTTCACTGGTGCACAACAGCAGACCACCATGGGGCCCCTCCTCTTCTCCAGGGGACCACCACCCCCAGCCAACCCGAGGCCCCAGGGCCCCCCAAAGAAGAGCAGCAGCAGCCTAACGGGGGCGTGGAGAGCGGAGCGCACGCGGGGCGTGGCCCTACCATGCACAAGGCGGTCCCGTGTGTACCACAGGGCGATGCCGTCTCCGTGGAGGTTCTTCTTCCCGGTGCCGTGCACTTTGAAGTGGACGTGCATCTCCCAGTCCTTGAGGAAGCAAGGCTGCAGAGGTGGGGGGCAGAGGGCTGCTCTGAGCTCTGGGCCTTCCTGCCAGCTAGGGGCGAGCCGGCCCAGACCCTGCTGTTGTAGACCACTCTGCCTAGTTTTAGGAATTGTACCTCGACCCCTTGTGGCTAAGGGCAAGAGACGACCTTTGGAAAGCCAGCAGCAGGAAACAAAGCATGTCTCTAGCAGCAAATGCTGCCTCAGTTCCTCTCCCTGCCCCCAAAATTTGGTCGGACGTCAATGACAGGTAAGACCCCTCACAGCGGGGGGCAACCTAAGCCAGACTCGATCACTTGGAAGGCCTTCATGGAAGGACTCCGGGGGCTGCAACAAAGAGCAATGGACTCTCGTCCCCTGGCTTTGCCAAAGCCCAAGTCCCCATGTTCTCTGGGAGAAGCACTTCCTGGCTCTAATCCCCTTAAGCCTGAATACCTGTTGGGGAGAGGTGCAGCTCCTTGCCTTGCTAGAGCATGTCCTGGGGAAAAATCTGGCATTACAAAATGCTGATAAACCTGTGAAATCTGCTCTGCTCGGAGTGCTTTCATTCATGTGATAAGGGTCCAAGAGGAAATGAGTATGTCTCCCAAAGTTTCTGCAACTCTCTTCCTGACACACTGTCAGACACTAAGCCCTCAGATTGCTTTGAAGTGTTATCTACTGTTTGATCCTTGCCGCCGCCCTGTATTCCTGTGTATTACGACCCAATAAAAGGCTATGGATGAGGGCTCTCAAGGCCTTTTTCTCCTTGGAGAAAATGGCCGCTGCTGGCCTTTGCCTCCCCTGAGAAACTGGCCACAGCCCACTCCTCCTCCCCAAACAGATCCAGCATGTCTCGGTCATTATTCATTCTCGTGTCCTCAGAGGGACTCGCGAAGAAGTCGCTCCCACACTGCTGCACAGAGACCAGGCCCTCCCCAGAGGGGGCCAGGCATCCGGGCACGAGCACCACGGGCCAGCAGACCCTCCAGCTTCCTCAGCAGGAGAGAGCAGGGGCTGCTGGGCCTCCCGGGGAAGGAGGGAAGGCCGCACAGGATCCCAAGGCTGCCTGAAGCCCAGAACCCATCTGGCCCGGCACCCGCCTTCCTGACTTTGATTCACGTTCCTCAAAACCAGCCAACCCCACCCAGGGTGGGGTTTTCTATCCATCCCAGTGCCCCTGCCCTGGGTTCTTGTGGAAGGATCGCTATCCCCTCTTGAGCCACATATTTACAGAAGAAAAAACACATTCAGAGACACAACTAGAGCCCACAGCAGGCGGGGCAGCCTTGTATCACACCCAGGCCTGTCTGAGGCAGAAACCTGTGCTGTCTTCCATCCCTCCCACAGCCTGCGAACTGCGTCAGCTCCTCTCCAGCCTCCCACCTCCACTATCTTCCCTTCTAACCGATGTCCCAAACTGAGGGACTCAAACCTGGGTCTGGCTGACTGCAAACCCTCTCGGCAAGCAGTGTACACCCTGACTCCTGCAGCCCCAACCTGCCCCAGCAGGGTGACAGCAGCAGGGCAGGGGCAGGAGGGCCACACCCCCGGAGCCTCCGGGCTACAGTGACCTGAGGGAAGGCAGATGCTCCCTGGCATCAGGAACACCAGGGGCGGGGCTGAGCACTACTGCGGCCAGGGAGGGGGCCTGGCCTCACCCACCAGGAAGCTGCTCAAGAAAACTACAGCTGACACATCCTTTGAAAAGAACCCAGGAGCAGAAGTCTGCAGATGGGTATGTGGGCCAGCGATTAAACACAGGCCCATCAGACAGGCGAAGGAAAACAGATACTGTTGACCTGTCTGACTGGCAACTATTAAAGAGATCACTAACACCCCATGGAGAAGGATGGAAGCAACGCTCTCAGCCAGCGGGACTGTGAGCGCTCCCTCCCTCCTCCCTGGGGCAGTTTGGCTGTTGCAGCCTTTTAATAGGAGCGGCAGAGCCACACACACTTACACTTACTGCAAAACAGCACCCGAGCCATGCTCCCATTTGAAAAAGAATAGGACTGACACACGCAGGGAAAGGAAAAACGAGAGGACTACAAGGAGCCAGCCTGAGCACACGTGCCTCTGGGCGGGAATGTCTACTTACTTTCTTTTTTTTTTCAGAGTGTATAATCCTTTTTATTGATATATTGCTGAATTCTGTTTTGTTTTTTTTTTTTTTTAAGATTTTATTTATTTATCTTTAGAGGGGAAGGGGGGAAGGAGAGAGGGAGAGAAACATCAATGTATGGTTGCCTTTTGTGCGTCCCCTGCTGGGAACTGACCTGCAGGGAACCGGCCTGCAACCCAGGCATGTGCCCTGACTGGGAATCGAACTGCGATCGTGTGGTTCGCAAGCCCACGCTCAAACCACTGAGCTACACCAGCCAGGGCTGTTTGTTTTTTAAATATATATTTTATTGATTATGCCATTTCAGTTGTCCTATTTCCCTTCATTCCCCTCCACCCTGCACACCCTCCCCCACCATCCCCCCTTTAGTTTATGTCCACGTGTCACAAGTTCTTTAGATTCCATATTTCCCATACTATTCTTGCCCTCCCCCCTGTCTATTTTCTACCTACCGTCTATGCTTATTCTCTGTACCTTCTCCCCCCTTCTCCCCCTACTCCCCTGTTGCTAACCCTCCATGTGATCTTCATTTCTATGGTTCCACTCCTGATCTAGCTGTCCTCTAGATTGCTTTTGTTTTAGGTGTGGTGGTTAGTAACTGTGAGTTTGCTGTCCTTTCACTGTTCATCTTTTTTATCTTCTTTTTCTTAGATAAGTCCCTTTAACATTTCATATAATATGGGCTTGGTGATGATGAACTCCTTGAATTTGACCTTATCCGAGAAGCACTTTATCTGCCCTTCCATTCTAAATGAAAGTTTTGCTGGGTAGAGCAATCTTGGTTGTAGATCTTTGGATTTCATGACTTGGAATACCTCTTTCCAGCCCCTTCTTGCCTGTAAGGTCTCTTTTGAGAAATCAGCTGACAGTCTGATGGGAACTCCTTTGTAGGTGACTGTCCCCTTATCTCTTGCTGCTTCTAGGATTCTCTCCCTCATTTTCATCTTGGCTAATGTAATGATGGTGTGCCTTGGTGTGTTCCTTCTTGGGTCCAACTTCTTTGGGACTCTCTGAGCTTCCTGGATTTCCTGGAAGTCTATTGCCTTTGCCAGATTGGGAAAGTTCTCCTTTATTATTTGTTCAAATAAGTTTTCCACTGGTGGCTGTTCCTCTTCCCCTTCTGGTACCCCTATATTTTGGATGTTGGAACTTTAAAGATGTCCTGGAGGTTCCTAAGCCTCTCCTCATTTTTTTGAATTTTAGTTGCTTCATACTTTTCTGTTTGGTCATTTTTTTCTTCCTCCTGGTCCATTCCCTTGATTTGAGTCCCAGTTTCCTTTCCATCACTATTGGTTTCCTGTGCATTTCCCTTCATTTCGATTAGTTTAGCCTTCATTTGCTCCTCTAATTTGTGACTAAAACCAACCAGTTCTGTGAGCATCCTGATCACCAGTGTTTTGAACTGTGCATCTGATAGGTTGGCTATTTGTTGGTCGCTTAGAATTATTGGTTCTGGGGCTTTGAGCTGTCCTTGAGCCATAATGTTTTGGTCTGTTCACACCTGTTTCATATGAGGGGCAGAGCCCTAGGTGTTCACCAAGGCGGGGCAACCCAGTTGCTGGGTTGTGATGCTGTATGTGGGGGAGGGGTCAGAGAGGGGCAATAGCGGTTTCCTCTGCTGCTTCCTGCCACTGGGGCCTGTGCAGTCTGTCTCACTGCTCGCTCCTTCACCTGGTTTATCTGCAGGCGAATGTGTGACTGCAGTCAGCCAGCCGTCTTACGCCCTCACTGGGTCTGCCCATTGCCACCCCTTGCCTGGGATCTGCCCACTGCTGCCTGTACAACTGGGTCCATCTGGCCGATTTTTCCTGCCCGACCCCGCTCTGCCAGCCACTGGCCCCGCCCCTCTTTCCGGTCTGGCCGAAGGGTTCATTGTTGTCGGACTTCCGTACGGTAAAATTTTCTGTGCTTTGTTTGCATTTTTGTTACTAAAACTTTGTTGTCTTTAAACTTGGTTGTGCAAGGAGGCACAGTGTTTCTATCTACACCTCCATCTTGGCCACGGAATGTCTACTTTCTATTTTGACTTTTGTGTAGTGAGTGTGCTGCCTCTATAACCAAAAAATACTCAAAAACAAAGACCTTTCCATCCCGTCATAGAAAAATGGCCTTGTGCACTTGTGAGTTCAGCACGCCCAGCAGATGGGACCCAGCCTGGCCCAGAGCACACAGCGCCAGCAGGCACCTGCGAGGCAGCTCGCCATTCTTGTGAAATCGGCCTTCCCGGTTCTCGACAGTTCACTGGCCCTGGGAAATGTGCCGATTCCAGGGGGTGAGTGACAGGGATGAGCACCAGCTCTCAAGGACAGACAGACAAGAAATCCGAGTCCAGAGCCTGCTTAGCGGGTGTAGCACCCTGCTTCATGTTGGGACCGTGAAGACAGTAAAGCCAAAAATAAGGGTGAAGGAGAAGGGCCCTCCCAAGGACTGCATCCCAGCTGAGTCCTCTCGATCCCTGAAATCTGACTAGAGACTCCTCCAGGCCTCATATTACAAAGACAATGTCCGGCACACAATGAAAATACCAGGCACGTGAAAAGACAAGACATGAACAAAAATCAGAGGGAGGGAGGGAGGGAGGGAGGAGGCTCATGGGAACCCGAGATATCAGCCGTGCACACAACTGGTTTGCCATGCTCGAGGATGTAAGAGACAAGACTGAGAATTTTGGCAAATAACTAAAGTTTTTTAGAACTATAAAAATTCCAGAACAAAAATATAATAACTGAAATTGACAATGTAACGGGTAGGTTTTACATTAGATTTAAAAACAGATGAGGAGAGAATTAGTAAACTCCAGTCCAGTCCAGTAAAAATACCCAGATTTAGCAGAAAGAGCAGAAGTCTGGCCGATGCAAAACACTGAGTTAAGAGGCAGAGGAAGGAGCGAGACAGTCTGACAGGTGCCCAGCCTTCCCGGTCTCCGGGCAGCACAGGAAGAGCTGTCATCTTGGGCCACACATTAAACACACAAACACTAACAAAAACTGACGAACAAAAAAAAGTTTTAAGTAAATGTACGGTTTTGCGTTGGGCGGCATTCACAGCCATCCTGGGCCGCGGATGGACACCCCTGGAGACGTGTGTAATTGGAGTTTCAGAATGAAGAGCAAAAGAATAGGGCAAAGAAAAAAGCGAAGGGATGTCTAACACTTACTAAAATGGATTCAAAGACAGTATTACACAAATCTTAAGTTTTACAAAGCAAAAGAAACAAAAAGAAAACAAGGAAAAAAAAAACCTATACTTTAGGAAGGACAAAAAAGGAGGAAGAAAACAAAGAAAGCGACCAGAAGAAAAAAGACTACCTTCCTTCTTTTGTGAAAGTATTGAGTGACCCCGCGAGAGTGCGACCCCGTGACTCAGCACTGACATTGAGAAAAACAAGATGCAGGAGAGAGCTGAAGACTGTTTCATTCTAACAGTAATATCCATCCAGATGGGGGGGGGCAGCTTCCTGAGATGCATTTCAATAAACTTTCACTTTTCTATAATAATTATTCGAGCACTGCGTAACGTGTAGCGCGCTCACTTTGACCTGTAGTACACTGACACTAATCCCAAGGAACCCCACAAGGTTACACCGTGTAAATCAGTGCGCACACGTTAGCCACAAGGCAGAGGTCCTCCGTCGGCAAACACACCACATCAGGGCAGCACTTCGCATTGGGAAATGAAACGAGTTCAGTAAAGAACTGTCATACGATCTGGGTTGACTCACAGTGTTTAAAAGAAAGAGTGGACATCAAATCTCAAATATTTGGATTCCACCGACTACAATGACTACACTTTAAAGTGTTACTTTAAAATGGCAATATTTAAAATATGTCAGAAACCAGGTCTCTTACAAATATTTAAACTTAGGCCACCTGTTCACGAAGGGAAGGGCAGCTACGCGCAGACCAACACCAGTGCAGACGGCCCGGAGACCGGCTGCAGCCACCACACCAGTCCCGTGGGCCGCCCCGTGCCCCGGCCGCCGGACACTTGGAGCTCCAGCCCTTCGCCAGACTGCCCGCCCTGCGCCGCAGCAGGCCTGAGCCCCATCTCTGCTCAACACGGCAGATCCTCAGTAGTGTTTGCTCATTGGCTGCCTCTCCCAGAGAGAGTGTGTAGTGGCGACAAGAAAAAGTCCAGAAAACATCTCTCAAGCCCAGTGCAGGAAGAGGTGGCTCTTGGGAAACACTGGGCAGAAAATTCTAAGAGTTCTAAGCAATGTCTTTCGGAAACTGCAGGAAACACTCCAACCCTTTGGGAACATCTGTAGAGCCAAACAGCAAAGGTCCCTGGAGCTGAATGGGTAGGTGGGAGGAAGCAATTCAATAAATCAAGTGCAGAACCCTGCCAGCCCTGTGACAGTGTCACACCACTGACAACACCAACCACCCACGACCTACAACCACAATCATTACTTGTGACTGGACCCAATTTCCAACAGTCCCAGCACTATTGGTACCGTACTTTAAAAAAAAGCCTTAATGCTAAACTAAACTCATTTCCATAGGAAATGTAAGGCTACACTGTCATTTTGTAAAAGACTATTTATTTTTAGAGAAGAGGAAGAGAGGGAGAAAGAAAGGAAGAGAAGCATCATTGTGAGAAACACTTGCCTCTCGCACACACTCCGACCAGGATTGAACCCACAACCCAGGCACGTGCCCTGACTGGGAATCAAACCAGTGACCTTTTGCTTTGTGGGATGACACCCAACCAACCGAGTCACGCTGACCAGGGTTCATTTTTTAAAATTATCTGAAAGTGCTAAGGCAGAATAATGTGACAGAATGTGACTCAAGGGAGTTCTTTTATTGAAGGCCTCTCAGTGGGTGGCACTGAGCTGAGACTTAACAGATGAGAAGGAACCAAGCAGGCAGGACGGGCCAAGAGGCAGAGTCCCAGAGTGGGGCAACCGCATGGGCAAAGATCCTGAGACAAAGTATCCTGAACAAAGTCAACAGGGCAGATGCCTGGCAGTCCCCAGCACCAGGGGACAGAATGTGTGTGCAAGTCACATTTATCTCTTCACAGGAGACCCCAGACTCGAAGAAGCATAGTGAAAGCTTAGCAGAGGAACCCGGGGCACCCCTAGCAATAACGAGAGGAGAAGCCAAGGGGACAAGCACATGAGGCAACATGAGACGTGTGGGCCCCCAGAAGTGAATGGGGATGTCAACCAGAAGGGACCAAGAGGAGGGTGAAGGAGAAAACCAGGACAACGACCGACACCGCAGGCACGGGAAAAGCTGGGGCCAGGCTGGATGAAGCAGGAGCGGGCCCCACCCCAAGTGGCGACCCAGCCCCAAATTACCCCCCTTACACCTTGTCCTGGCCTAGATTTCCCTAGTGTGAAGTATATGTAGCAAGTGACTTTGGCCACTGCTCATGTGTGACATTCCAGTGATATCTGGGGCTCCCAGACCTCTGGAGCAGAGGTCACAGAAACTAAATCTGTCCACAAGTCTATACAACTAACGACAAGACCCTCAGGCACTAGGGGAGGGAACTGAGTCTGCAAGTACTTCTAAGGGGCACCTTCACCGTCCAGGGGGAGGTCAAGCGTAGCAAGTGAACTGCTGGGCTTGGAGACCAGAGAGCTGAGAGTTCAGATTCTGTTTATGCTGAATTATTCCCTGTCTGTATTAACTCTACACAAAGCCACAGCTGCCACCCATCTGGAACAACCCCTTCGAGAACATAACGCAGTAAGGCGTGTTCAAGTCAGGGCATAACACACGGCAAAACACCCGATAAAGGCCCTGTTTCCATTTATCGCACATTTGAGAGGGTTCAATCCAGACAGCCTGACAGCCCCACTAAACTCTGAGCCTTAGCTCCTTAGTCAGCAAAATGGAAATAACATCCCTTCCTTCACATGGGTTTTGAAAAGGGGGTAAAGTGTCAAGCACAACTCCCGACACAAAATAACTTCAACAGCCATTGCCTGTTATTACCACTGGATGGGACCAAGACGGGGAAGGGGCAGGGGAGGGAGGGGCAAGCCTTCAAACCAAACTCCGGTCTGGGCTGCAGCCGGGAGTAGTGGCTTTCTTAAGGGTACGCCTGGCGTCCGGGGAACCACTCACCTGGTGATTCCAGATAGAGCCTTCTTTGCTGCGCTCATCAGGGGTCAGACGCACGTACTGGCTTGTGAGTATAGTGCTGCCTTGGAAGTCCCAGAGGGGCATGGAGCTGGAACCGACCCCTGTGGGCAGAGTGACGGGCACAGACAGGTGGGTAACAGGCCTTGACAGGACTGGCCTTGCCAGAGGCAGGAAACCCAGAGAGCTGCCCCGCTCGGGAGAAAAGGCACTGCCTTTCCTAACCCGGTGCAACCTCTCCTGCGCCCCGCACTGATCCCGCCCCAGGCCTCACCTTGGTAGGGCTTAATAAGCGAATGCTCTCGCTTGAGGTGTTCACTATTGCCGTCAGTTATATCCGCAGCCACCGACCCCAGCAACAGGATAAGAAGTAGAGGTGTCGTGGGGCCAGGGCCGGGGCCGGGAAGCCCAGGACTCCCCGGGCACCGCCGGCCCCAGCCCCAACGCCAAATCCAGTCTTCAGCCGCCATTCCCCGTTCCTCTCCGCCACTTCCGTTCTAGCACTTCCGCCTTCCGGTGTCCCATATAATGGCCTCCGGCCGGAAACACCCCCGCCCCAACCTAGATCACTTGGTGTTAAAGCAAAGCTTCACAGCAGGAGACGGCGGTTTTATTTGCTGAGCGGCCCCCATCCTGATCAAATGTAGTTCCACACTTTCTTGGCTCCCCCGACGCACCTGTCAGCCTGCCTAAGCAACGGGTTCTTATGAGCCACAACCAATCACGGAACAGCACGTTAGGACTGCAAGCCAATAGGGAACAGAGGGATGGTTTTAGTCGGTGGTTGAATGAATGCAGTCAGCGAAGCGAGGCGTGCTGGAACTTGTAGTTTTGGTGGGGTGCCCGCGCAGGCCGGACGGGCGAAGATTACACTGCCCTGGGCCTCTGACTACTGATCACTTCCTTGAAGTAATTTTCCCAGTCCGAGAGCAAATGATCTTTAATTCGAAGGCGAAGACCTGAATTCCAACTGCCGCGCCACCTCGGACTCCCTGGGTGGCCTCTAGTGTGCTTTAGCTGGTTCTGGCTTAACTCCCTGCAGCTTCACGCCCTTGTAGACTTAGAATTTACCAGTGACTTTAGGGTGTCCACTTCTCCCAGCTCCTTAGGCCCAGTCTCGGTTAAGCGGACAGCAGGCCTGGACCCCGACTCGAGACCCCAGTGATGTTTGGAACCCATGCAGAACCAAACTAGTCGTAGTGCCTGCCTGGCTCAGCGAGAAGAGTACATTAAAGGTGCAGAGTACATTTTGGTTTACTGGCCGTGAACCAAAAGTAGAAAATTGGTGTTATTCGCAGCCAAATACAGCTCCAAGTGACACCAGAGGCTCCCTGACCTCTGGAGCAGAGGTCGCAGCAACTAAATCTGCCCACCAGTCCATATGACTGACTAATACAGCCAAATCCAGCTTTGTTTTTACCTGCTCTTTTTAATAAGTGATTTTTAATGCTCTTTTAATAAGTGATTTAACTAGCGATATATTTAAATCAGGACTCTTTAAGTTCATATTAGAAAGAAAATTTTTAGTTTCTCTGGAAAAAATTGGAAGATCCAACCAAACTAAACCCACTGGCCGCCCCCTACAAACGCCTTCCTCTTCTAAGCTAGTAAACACTCTACATGCTGACCACTAATTTAACCCTCCTGTCTGGCCCCTCTAGACATTTGAATTAATGACCCCTGTTATAGATCACAGGGCAGGATCTTCATTGGTTGCTCCTTTATTAAATTTTAAGAAGCTTCCCTTTTTAATTAATCAACTTATTCAGGATTAAGTGATGAGAGGTCTTTTCTGGGTCATTTTTTTTTTTAAGATTTTATTTCTTTTTTAGAAAGGGGCAGGGAAGGAGAGAGGGAGGGAAACATCACTGTGTGGTTGCCTCTCTGGGCCCCCTACTGGGAATCTATCTGGCCTGCAACCCAGGCATGTGTCCTGACTGGAAATGGAACCGGCAACCCTTTGATATGCAGGCTGGCACTCAACCACTGAGTCACACCAGCCAGGGCTGGGTGGTATATTTTTAATGAGCTTTTTTATTTATAGCTGAACAAGCGAGGACATGAACATTGGACTAGATAGATCTCCATGAGGGCTGGGATTTATTGTCAGCTGTGCTCACTACTGAATCCCAAGCATCTAGAACAGTACTTGACACATAGGAGGTGATTAATAAGTAATTGGTGAAAGAATGACTATTTGTTCTAGAACCTGGAATCAAGTCATAAAGAATGAGTAATTTACCAAAAAGGAGAACAGGAAATGCGAAGGCGGGGTGCCTGAAAGTATAAGGAGGCCAGGCAGCTTGGAATGGCTAAACGGTGATGGGCAAGAGTGTGGCTGAGGCCAGGCCTCAGAGGGCCTTCAATTCCCAGCTGAGGAACATGACTTTTTTCCAGAAGGCAATGGAATGGTTTTAAGTGTGGGACTGGCCAATGTGGATTTCTCTTGCTATGGAGAGAAGAGCCTGGAGCCAGGTGACAGGTGGGTTGCCTGAATGGGAGGGCATTAGGACCAGATGAGAGAGGGCAAGGCCCGGGCCAGTGTGGTCTCCACGGGGAATGGGAATTGGAAGTCCCACAGGAAGACTAGACATCAGTAAGTGATCCCCTGTGGAAAGCCAGAGACAAAGAAGTTGAGAACAGTGTTCTGCAGAGTGGGGGTGCCCCACCATGCCCATGGAGTGGAGAAAAGTAGATAAGGGCTAAGAGGTGGGAAGTTCCAGGGTCTCCTGGGGCCCCTGGGGTGAAGATGTGGTCAGAGGTGAAACTAGCATCCACGCAGACAGATAGGGAGAGGCATCTCCTTAGTAGCCAGAGGATGACCTTGGGAGGGGGTCCCAGGCAGAGCATGTGATTGGGTCTTTTCAGGAATGAAGGTGAACTGCTAGCACCTGGGCTGGTGGCGGCCCAGGCCCAACTCCTGGCACCCCAAGCACACGTGTTCACAGCTTAGCAGATTTCTAACTTGCTGTGTAACCTTGGGCAACTCACATCTCTCTGAGTCTCAGTCTCCTAAGTTGTAAAATGGGAATAATGAGAACCAATCACAAGGAGATTGTAAGGATCAAATGAGGTCAGTTCAGGAGAAAACCCTGTAAACTGAAAGCCCCCTCCGAAGCCCAGGCCCAGAGCCATGGCATAGGAGACAGGCAGGCAGTCTCCACTCGTGTCACATACGCTCCAGCCCCTCACAGGTGCAGTCACACTGTCAGGTATTAAAACCACCATGGGCAATGCTCCAGGCCCCAAAGCAACCCCTCATACACATTCAAGTCTGAATGAATCTCTCTGTCTGGGTGGCCCGGAGCAAGGTGTCTGGACGGAAGTGAGTCAGGGCTGGAGGAAGAGGTGATTTAACTAGGGCAATGCTAGTTGCTATAACAAATAAACCCTAATGTGTGTAATGGCTTCAAGTTTCTTTCTTGCTCATATACAACAGCCCAAGGCTGCTGTTTCTGGTTGATGGGTGGCTTGTCTTCAAGCACTAAATGCAGAGACCCAGGTGTCTTCCCTGTCGTGGCTCCACAGTCTCCCTACAGCCTCATTATCTTCTGCAGCCAGCCAGCTGAAGGGGAAAGAGAACGCCCAGAGCATGTACTACTTCCAGGTGTTGGTCCAGAAACAGCACCATTCCATTCACGTTCGATTGGTGGGAGCTAGCCACGTGGCCACACATGACTGCAGGGACCCTGGGACATTAAAGTTTAGCCATGTGCCCAGGAAGAAAAGAACATGAATTTGTGATGAAGAATAAGTCTCTGCCACCAAAATTTTTAGATCACAGCCCTAAAAGGGGGCAGGGTATAGAGGGTAGAATGTGGAAAAGGGGGTGTCACCTTTCCCCTGTGGAGAGAGGGGCCCAAACTGGAGTTGAGGGCCCTGAGTCCATACACACAGTAGAGGGAACACGCATGTGTAAGGAAGAGGAGAACTGAGGGCTCTGGCTGAGGGGCCCGGGTTCCCCTGGGACTGGCCGCGCTGAGCCCAGGGTGCCACTCTTCAGCTGACAGGGCTCTACTGAGATGGGTGTGTATGTGAGTGAGGGGACTGTGTAGGCACAGACGCCTCTGCCCACATGGGCAAGCAAGGCGCACACCTCTGCTGTGCGCAGGTGTGCCTGTCACATGTGCCTGTCCCCAGGATTGTGCAGAAAGATGACCAAAGATCAGATAGATGGTCGTTATGAAGGAGAGCCCGTGTGTTTATGACAGACTCACCTGAACGGCCCGTAAGCGCATAACCATGCGTGCCCACCTGTGTACACACCTGAGCACGTGCCTGGGAAGTGTCTGAGGACGGAGGGAGTGACTGCACACGGGCATGACTGCCTGGGGGAGGGGTGCCGAGTGTGTGCATGCCCAACACGCAGCAGGTGTGAGATAAGCGTGTGCTGAGTAAAGTCCACATGTGGATGCTTGGTGCACCTTTATTCATACATACACACGTGTCCACGGAGACCCTGCTTTGCCCAAAGTTTTCTAGGTGTGTGGGCGTGCCTTTCTGTGTGCCCGGCTGCGACCCTAGAGCTCCCGGCTGGGCCAGACCAGGCTGGGCTCCTCTCCGAGTACTCAGGGGCCCCTGCTGGGTGTCGGCGCCTGCGTGGGGCACTGCAAGGCTGCACTGGCAGCCTGTGTGTGTGAACGTGTGTGTAGGAAGAGGCGTTCACTTTCTTAGACCTTGCTTTTTTCTGTGGTTCCGTTTCTATAGAGACACTTCCTGTGGCAGAGAAAAGAGGTAGTGAGCTGGTGTTTCAGGATGTGAGGGCCCACAGGAGCAGAGCTGGGCTCTATCCGCGCTTGCCTGCCGCCCTGCAAGCTCTGGCCTCGGCACTCTGCCCACAGTCTCCATGGTGGGCGCCCCCCGTGGCCGGGACCAGTGAACAGCGGAGGCATGCCAGGGAAGCCCAAGCACCTGGCCGTCCCCAACGGGCGCATGGTGAGTGTAGGCTGCAGGCCAGGCCCCTGGGGAGGGATGGGCACACCCAGGGTGGAGCCCAGGAGCACACCCAGCAGGGTTGGGCAAGAGCCTGCATGCTGCTAGCGGGCGGAAGAACCTGGGTTCAGACAGCAGGCCGTGGGACCTGGTGCCCTCACCCCTGGACCATCCAGATTGGCCTGCTGGAGACCTAGGGCAACCCTGGGGGTCAGACCAGAGCACAGCAGGCACAGGCTTCTGGTCCAGGCCCTGCTGCTGCCTCTCCTGCTCCTTGAGCACCATCCGAGGCTGCTTGACATGCCCCATGCCCCCTGCACACCCCCGTGGGCCCAAGCCCTCACACCTCATTTAGCTTCAGCCCTCCCCTCCTCACCCCAAGTTCTGATGCCCAAGGTCAGGTAAGGGACAGCCCTTACTAGGTTGCAGCCCTGCAGCTGGACCTGCTCCGGAGGCTCCCTGCCAGAACCAGCAGGCGTTGGGCAGCCTGGGGCGGTTCAGAAGTGTCAGGCCAGGTTGGTGAAGCTCGTCCATTCTATTCTTGAGCTACCGGGGTGCAGAGGGGTAGCTGGCCTCTAGGATGTCCTGGAGGCTGTTGCCCCACCCCCTAAACACTCTCCTTGGCTGCTTGGACCCCGGGTCAAGCTGCCCTTGTAAGGAAGGACCAGCTTCTTTATTCATTCAACAGATGGGGCAGGCTGTGCCGGCCCTCCCTTCTCTCCCTAGAAT